TAGAAGCTTTTTTAAGGCAGGCTTTCTTCAATTATAAAATTTGAAAAAGGCCAATTTACTACCAGAGGAATGTGAGAAATAAGATGTTTGAGCATGTTTCCTATGAAATGAGAAAAATGCATGCTATTTAAATAGTCATTTTTTTACATAGTATGCTTTTATAGGCGGCTAGAAAGGAACCCTACTGAAAGCCTAAATCCTGGCTTGACTGAAATATCTTGAGATTAGGCTACACGATTGCCAACCTTCTAACCCTATTTTAACGAGTTGTTGGAATCGAAAACATTTGAAAATTTCGGTTGACATTTCATGAGATAGGGAATCTTTTGTTCTTCTAAAGTATCTATAATATATGACGGTAATTGTTAATTTTTTTTATAGGAATGCGCTGGTTGGACGGCTTTACTTTTCCACACTTATCGATAATAAAATGTGTCTATCAGACTGCCCTAATATTTCGCTCTGGGGTCTCATCAAAAGGTATCGTAAGGGCAATGTCCGACTTGGAACATCTCTGTCCTTCGGAACTAGCAATACGCAATTAAGCAGAGCTAGCTGTCAAAACTGAGTTCTCAATGGCTTAAGGCACTTTTCCCTCCGATTTTTCCTAGGTCTCACAAGAAATTGGATTGGAACAGAATAAAACCATCAAATTGGAAAATTCGGACGAACTGGGCTACTTCTTTCGGGTGACGCTAAAGGTAATGAAGCTCTTATTTGCCCATGTTCGGCTTCCTTGGTTCGCACAGTTTATGTTGTCGCTCGTAGTAGGCGGCACCTTTTCCAAATTTTTAACTGCCAGGCGGACTATCTTGGGCCAAACAATACGCTTTTCAGGATATATCATAATAGGTTTGCACTTGTTTCTCTTGTGGCAATAATTCAACGTGAGCTGTTGATAAAGTATTCTGTTCACCTACAGGAGACAGGCAGAACTTGAGAACCAATTTCTGGTCTCGGAAAGCACGGTCTAGCTGGAAGTGCTAGCCACTGTGCAAAGGCAGATGTCCATTTCCTTGTTGCAGTCAGTTATGTTGATTTGTGCTGTTCCGTATTCCTTGGTCTCAGGCTGCATGACATGGACCCGTTGGTACGTTGGAAAGGCTATTGCTCAGTGATCCGCTGACTCAAGGTCGAGCCTCTGGTGTGCAGGCAATAAGGCCCAAAATGGCCATTGCAGGGTCTCCTTATTTGTTGATAGCTACTTCTCAACGTAACCTGCTATATTAGGTAATCCTACTCCGATCTGTTTAGGATGCACTCACCCTGACATTGTGAGTAGCGAGCTAATTGGAACCCCATTTGTATATGTTACTCGCCAACTATTAGTAACAATGTTATTTTACCGACAATGAAATGGTCTGTGTTGTCGGTAAAATAACATTGTTACCTGCTATATGTTTCACCCTAGCGGATCTTTTTTCCCTACCTACTTTCAAAATGGGCGGGAAAGAATATGATTGTCAGTTGGCTGCTCGCTTTTTTTAATCGTCAGTCCGCTTAGCCGGCCATCCTAGACGTGATGCTGGTCTTAGCTTCAGTGAGCACACCTCTGGATACTTTGTTGCAAACGGCGAGGTCCATCGCTGTTTTGCAGTGGGTACAATGGTGCCGTGCACGTTCGTGCTGATGGTGAGCTACACGGCATCTGCTTAACTATCCTCTCTCCCGCTAACCCTGTTCTTGACTGGGGATGAGCGACGGCGCAGTATCTGATATGGTTTTCCGGCCCATTCCTGTGTGACACGTACGAACCACATTTTAATGGGAGGAGTCTTTAAGCTCTCGTGAATGTGGCTGCTATACAGTTGCGGATCGTTGCGCAACTGTGGCCCTAATTACAGTAGAAGATCAGGTTATACTATTGATTAACAGCCCTCCAAGCTACGACCATCTCGTCTCCAGTGACTGCTCGTCACCTTTGCGGCGTCTATTCGAGATCGGACAGTACACCCTGCATGATAATCGAAGTGGATTAGGGGCTCACAGCCATCCAAATATCGTCAATCCCAACTGGTAAGGGGCGCGTGCGTGGTTAGAGCATCTGACCGGAGTTTGCTATGAGACGACGGATTCAAATCCTTTCACCAATGACAGGTTCACTGTGGTATGTTGGTCAGGATTTTATGGAAACTCACTCCTTACGTTTGTCACTCGGGGAGTCGCGGCCTAAGCTACGGGCTAATCTGACCGAATTTATACGTTCCTCTAACTGGAACAAGTCGAACTTTCATTGTTTTTTATGTCTCTCTTCTGCCCGTGTCGCCGAATGCGTTGAAGTTCTTGGGTTAGAATGACACTTACGTATCCCTTTCAGGATTTGCAGGACGCCTGCTAGTTCGTGGCTTGAAACTACACCTGGCGCGTTTTATAGATCTCCTGGCTTTGTGTCATTTCGTGCCCTATTGCTCAACAGAGTGACTTTGATAGACCTTTCGTCGAATACACTACCGGGCCTTTCTGTTAAGAGACTGCTAAAATCGGCCATTTTTTTTCACTGTCCACAAAACGGACAGAAGATTGGGAATCATTTTTTGTTATTTCTCTAAATGCCTTATTCTTCTGTTTATGAACATATCATAAACACCTTTCATTACTTCATTCCACGTCCTAGATGGAGAAACATATCCGGGGACTGCACTGGTTAAAAAAGATTGATCTTCAAAAGTCCGGTGTCCGCTTTCGATCAGCTGACTTGAGTTCCCTCAACGAACAGTACAGGGAGCTTAAATCGTCTTATGATGCTGCGCAAAAAACCATTGTAAAGGAGATCCTCTCCGTGACTGGTTCGTTTCATTTGGTGTAACTGCACATGCCTCTCTATCCCCCCTATGCCATTCTGATAATCGATCTACGGCCTCAATCAGTTCGCACTATGTGGCGCAAATGTCGCCGCATTTTTTAGGTCTTTTAACACGTCCGCTTCTCGTTAGCCAGCATGTGCTCATTCTCCCGTTCTTTCTTGCCCTTCAGCTGGCTACCTCGAACCCCTTTACGTACTGGGCGCAACCACTGCCTTTTTGGATGTGATTGTGAGCTTGGCCGTGGCTGCTGTCTCGGCGCCCCAACAGTACGTTCGTCCGCGTTTTCTACCTCGCGATCAGGGCTGCATCCGCATCAAGGACTTTCGTCATCCCTGCCTCGAAATGCAGAGCGGTGTGAACGTCATCCCGAATGATGTCCACTTACAGCGAGGTACACATATTATCTGCGTCACGCAGTTGTCCATCCCGTTGAATGTCTTCCTGGGTCACCGATGGGTTTAGTGGTAGTATGATAAATTTCTCCCTTTTTATGTGATGCGAGCTAATTCTGTCAGGAAACGGAACATACCAACTGCCTAACCTGCAGTCATTTTAATATTTGCTGTCGTTTTGGGAACATGAGTTTGGCACCCTCAGTTACTGAGAGAGGTATACACTGAATCTTTCTTTATAATAACCTTTTGCTGAATGCTCAGCTTAGTTTTTCATTTAAATTTTCAATACTGTGTCTTTCTGAACAATCCAACTTTGTATGTTCCAGGGAAACGCATCTTCAAGACCATAACGGGACCAAATATGGGCGGAAAATCCACCTATATCCGGGGTGTACGTACTATCAGCATTTTATTTCCCTCTATTTTTTGAAGATTGCTTTTTTCCTAGCTGTTTGCTTTTATGTGTGACAATTAACGTTATCCTGCGTTTTTTCATCGCTCTCTCTCTCTCTCCCTCGTGGTTCAAGAAGTGAAATGTGTGGCTGATTGTCTTCTCCATTGAAATGCCTTATGTCTACATACAGGTACAGTAGTCGCCGGTTATTAAGCCCACGGTTAATAGGCCCAGCCGCTTATTGAGCCTAATTTGGTCTGGGCCCGAGTTGGGCTTAATAACCGGCGACTACTGTACCTCTTCCGAATCCAACTTCATGTCGGCTCAAATTTAGGCTCTAAACAGATTAATCATCACATATAGTTTGGTTGGGTTGACGACCGTCATATTTTTTGTCCAATTAAAGGTTAGGATTACTCTTATGGCCCTTAAATAGGACAGTCTCGTATGACGCTCCACCCAAGTAATAAAACTGAGTCTGTTCGTAATTCCAGGATGGCTAAATATTCGCCTGTCCTAAACGCTGCACCAAACCCTCACATAGAGACAAGCCGTAGACCTAACTTTAACCTTAACCCTATGGCCAACACTAACCCTCCCCATAAACTTAGCCATAACCTGAACATGGA